TGAAGGTTAAAAAGTGTTTGGTGAGGGGGGCTTGACTGCTGCCTCCCCAGTACTCAGGAGGCAGAGCCAGGCAGTCTCTGTGAGATCAAGGCCAGCCTGGTCTACATAGTGAGTTCCAGGCCAGCTGGGGATACAAAGAGACCCTGTCTCAAAAGACAAAAAATAAATAAATAAATAAATAAAAAGAAAGAACCTATATGAGCCACAAAGTCACAGTCCTGTCCCCTGGATATGGCCCAAGGCCCAGACCTCTGCTTTCTAGACGAAGTCTGTCCTAAGCAGATGGTAGAATCTAGGAGACATATATTCTTTCTCACACACCAGTCTGACTCAAGCTTCTCTAGGCTGGCAGAGCCCCGTCCTTATTTCTTCTTCACTGGCTCTGAAATTTGCTGCATTCTCTCCCATGTTGGCCACACACAGCAGCTCCACTAAGCAAATACTGGTTGAGTTTCCTTTTACAGGTGAGACCATTGAGGCAGAGGAGAGTAAAGTCTTGGTGCAGGATCGTGCAGCCAGGATTCAAGATGACAGGATACCTTACCCATCTCAAAATATGACTGAGATCCTGCAGGATCATGTCCTAGAAAGGGATTTAAAGTGACAGATTCTGCCATCTGGAGCTCTAACTCAGGGGTAGAACACATGTTTAGCACATTTGAGATTCTGTATTCATTCTCCAGAACTTAAAATAAGAGGGACAGATTCCTGCATCCTATCTTACACATACAGAATCAGACTTGAGGGCTTCAGCCCAGGAACCTGTTTCCCAGGGGTCTGTGCAGAGAAATGCAGACTCAATGAGGGTCATCCTACTCCCTGGCCAGGGACTGAGGGAACAGAAGTAGAGTCCTACCTCACTCCCTTGCTGTTCCCTGTTCTGAGCTCTAGGCAGAATGAAGCTAGGCCTCAACCCTCCTTCCCAGCCTCTACCCTCTGCTCCTGCCCCTTCAGCAGTCACAGCTGCACCTGCCGGGTACTCCCTCTAGCCACCTTCAGGATTCTGCTCATACTGCTTCCTTTAGTGGGTAAACCTGCCCCACCTTCCATTAACAGCAGCCCAAGTCTGTCTGTCCAAGCAGTTCTGTGGGGTTGGAGCAGGGTCTATGGATAAATCAAACTTGGGGGCTCTGCCTCTGCTACTAGGATCCCTTGGGATAGTCAAGATAACTTCAGAGGATAATAGGGCTAAATGACATGACAATAACATCAGAAATAATGATGGCAGAGCTGTGATAAGCACCCACTGTATGCTAGGCAATATTCTATACCTACTGTTTTATTTTCTTTTTTTGAAATAGGGGCTCTGGCTTTGAACTTGCTATGTAGCCAAAGATGACCTTAAACTTCTGCCCCTCCAGCCTGATATTACAGGTAAGCACACCATACCCGGCTTTAAAAAAAATTATTACTTTTTCTTTTATGTGTATTGAGTGTATTGCCTGCATGTAGGTAAGTGCACCTGTGTTGTGCAATGCCTATGGAGGCCAAAAGAGGGCATTGGATCCCCTGAAACTGGAGTTATAGATGATTGTTAGTTGCCATGTGGGTGCTGGGAATCAACCCGGGTCCTCTGGAAAAGCAGCCAGTGCTCTTAACTGCTGAGACATTTCTCCAGCCCTTTTATTACTTTCTTTTGAGACAGGGTCTCACTACGTGACCCTGGCTGGTCTGGAACCCCCTATATAGACCAGGCTAACAGAGATCTGCCTGCCACTGCTTCCTGAGGGCTGAGATTAAAGACATGTGCCACTACACCCTGCTCATTTATTACATTTAAAAAGATTTGTTTGTATGTGTCTATATGCATGTGAATGTAGGTATATATAGAGGCCAGAAGAGGGTACTGGATTCCCTGGAACTAGAGTTATAAGTGGCTGTGAGCCACCCAAGTGAATACTGGAAACTGAACTCAGGTTCTTTGCAACAGCAAGAGCTCTTTGTTTTGTTTGTTTTTGAGACTGGGTTTCATCAAGGCCCTCGCCTGTCTCAGGCAACCCACGTTTTACTGGAGGAAACTGAGGCACGGCTGTAGCCTTCACAGGAATGGGTCTGGGTACATCTTCAACCTAGCAGCTGGTCTGAGGGAAAAGGTTTGAGTGCTTACAAATGCTGACAGGTACCTACAATTACTGAGTATCCAACTGTCCCAGACATACTTCCCATGATGATGTGGGGACTAGGATGGCACAAGCACATAGGCTTTGGGCAGGCTCAACTGGGATCACAATCCCTCTGGCTTTAGCCCTGAGCATTAGGGGCACCAGACCTAACACATTTGCTCGAGTGTGAGCTGTGGTCATTCACTCCTTCCCCGAAACTTGGCTGTACACAGCAGAGGAGCCAGGATCCCTCACACTCCACAGGTCCAGAGGAATGTGCAGAGGGCCTGGAAAGCTTGTCCACACCACCTGAGCACTGAGTCCTGACCCCCAGGACCTCAATACCCACCCAGGGAACAAAAGGCACAGTGGCCACCTGGCTAGCCTTCCCACTTGCTCCCACAGAATGGGAGGAAAGGGGTACATCTTAGAGCAGTGGAAGAACCAGTATCAGACAGGACTGGGGCCCCATTGGGGGAGGAGAAGTTAAGAATCTGAAATCATGGGTCAGACAGATCATACTGACAGGCCTCAGGGGGATGGGAGGGCAGATGCCTAGGGCACAGGAAATCTCAAGTGAAGGTTGTCTCTTTTTACATGAATTTGGATCCCCTGACTATGTTGGAAACATTAGTTTCTCTACTGGCCACTGGGGGTAAAGAGGCCAGCTAATCTTTTGATCACTCTCTTCACAGGTGGTATGGGCCACCCATGATCCTGTCCAGTGACGAGGATGACAGCACAAACTTGCTTTGCATTTGATTTCCTTAGCAAAACTATCAGGCACCAAGGGGGCCACACCTGAGGAAGCCAAGCCAGGAACCAGGTACATTTGCTTCCTGCCTCACTTAGTTAAAAGCCTACTTCCACACTGCCTTGAAGCCCGTTTCCCTTCCTAAGGCCTCTTGAATTCTGAATTAGGGCGTTCTCTATATCTAGCAGGGGTCATTGCAAACATAGTCTTCTTTGACAGGTGGACAAAACAAGGTCAGGGAGCATCCATCCCAGGGACTCAGGGCAGTCCCTCAGTCATTTCAGCAGCTGTGACTCAGGCTGGAAGTAGTGAGAGGCAGGACAAGGGTGTGGTGTGGGCAGCCAGGCAGGAAGAAGGGAAATATCAGGACAGAGTCAGGGAAGACGCCAGGAGCCAGACATCCAGTGGAAACTGTAAGGTGAAGACCCTGGATCTTAAGGGGTCCAGTATCAGTGCTCTATCTCCATTGCTGTGGGGTAGTAAAGGCATTCTTCATTGCCCCTGGGTAGGTCCTTTTCCCATCATACCTTGACCCATTGCCCCTTCCACATAATCTGGCATCTGGCCTGGAGTTTGCTTGCACTCTGTGGATGGTAGGCACTTGACTCCCCTGCCAGCCCGTGTGCCTACCCCTCAGGAAGGGCTTTCCCCGCAGACTCCACATTGATTCAGAGTTGCCAGCAAGGAAGCTTGCTGAACAGATGGTGGCAGGAGTCAGCCTCTTTTCACCCCACCAGGTGCTCCATCTCCAGCTGGATAAAACCAGAGGGGCCCCACAGAGGTTCCCTAGGGTGGCCTTGATATTTGCACTCCTTTCCACCAAGAAGATACCTCAGTTAGCCCTTGCCCTGTGGTACAGCTGCTGGGCCCACTGCAGGTGAGCAGTAACCACAGAGGCTACTCAACATTAGAACATGTGCTTCTACATGGAGCACCCAGCTCCTGTGTAGAGAATATGTAGGGGAAGGGAGACAGCACCCATCTGCCTGAGCAAGACCTGAAGGGTCTCAGAGTAGATGGGCCCATAGGTTCAGACACTTGATGTTTATCTAGGCCCTAATATCTAAGACTCTGTTCCCATCTATCATAGGCCCTCTCTTTCCTTGATTAGGTTTTGATCTAGGAGGCAGTGACATGCGGCTGTCCTCTCTGACCTCAGTTTCCTCAAGTATTCAGTCAATTTACCTCTTACTTTCAGATCTCTCCTCCCCACAGGGGTTGGGAGGAATCTAGACCTACCCTAACACTGCTACCCGCCCTGATTTTTCCTGAGATCTCTAAAATCTTCAGCTGC